AGTCTCCCTCCCTTTTCTGGACCAGGAAGAGCAGATGACTTTTTATCACTGGAGACAGCAGCACCGACTTGAATCTACTTATTATTGAAACATCCTTATCTTCCATTAGTTTCCTCATACATTTGTCTTCCTGCAATCTATCACCCCTAGAAGCCCAAACCCCTTTCCTTCGCCTGGCCACCTCCTTACAATTTGACCACTCTTTGTTAAAAACGTATAGAACTATTAGGTCCACTACTTCTTTGGCATTTTCACTTCTTTTCTATGAAGTTTTCATGTCACATTAAAATCCTAACATCAAATAAAATTTGTATGCCTTTTTTCCTATTAACGTATCTTTTGTGAATTTAACTTGCAGTTTCCAGACACTGAAGCTAAGAGGGTATAGGGGAAAAAAAAATTCCATCCCCTACAAAACCAAATGCAATACATAAAACATGATGAGACAATGGTATGAAAAAACTCAAAGAATAATAGGAAAGCCATTTTTGAACCAGTGGGTCAATTTGGTTATGGGCAAGATAAAATGGTATTTTTAATTTTCTTGAGCATGATAAAAAAGCCTGGCTAGATATGGCATATCGTTATTCTAAGGAAATGCATCGTGAAGAATTTTGGGGTCCAGTATAAGGAGGTTTATAACTTACTTGCAAATGTTAAAACAGCAAAAAAAAATAATGTGTGTGTGTGTGTGTGTGTGTGTGTGTGTGTGTGTGATATTCCCTATATTAAATAAAGGCACATATAGGGGAGGTAGGGAGACTGAGAGAAAAAGTGTATATGGCAAGATGTTAGCTGCTGAATCTAGGGACTTAGGAGAAGGAGGGGAGGGAACATGGGTGTTCCTTATGCTACTTTTTTCTGTTTTTCTATACGCTTGTAATTTTTATTAAAAAGTTGGGAAAAGAAAAAATTTTAGGCAATGTATTCAATCCGGTGATATTTAAATTAAACTGATTCATCACTCAATATTTGTTAGTACAATAATTGCCTTATCTCTACAATGGTGGAGACAATACCATATTTGACTAAAGGGAAAAGAGAGAGAAATTCTTAGGATCACTTTTATTGCTATGGATTATGATTCAGAAATTCCTCCATTTAGAAATTCTATTTCCCATCACCTTGCAGCCCTCTTCCATTCCATCTTTTATCAACTGGTATTATTCTAAGTAAAATGGATTTCCCTATGTTTTCAGCTATCTGCTGTTTAAAAGCCTGCTTACCCACATTCCCTTGACTGGCACATCTCCTGGAATACTCCAGAAAAAAAAGAAGTGTATGAAGATAGTGACTCCATCATCAGAAGGACTGAAACCACAGTACAGGATAATGAGGTCTGGGCAGATAAACATCTGGCCAAAAATAGATAAGATCCTTTTTTGTTTATGCCATGGACCCTTCTGGCAATCTGGTGAGGCCTGGTAGTCTCAAAATAATGTCTGAAGTCCAGAATATAACATACCCAGAACTCTGAAGAAAGTCAATGGTACTGAAAAATAGCTATAAAACTATTAGAAAAAATGTGATACAGCCATACATGTGCTTGTTTATTATTAACACATTCATAAGATCTTGTGGAAGATCTGATGGCTAGTGTAGCTATGAAGAGCGATAACCATGAACAATACTTTGAGATATCTGTAATGGCGCTGAAATATTAAAAAACGCCTGTGATTTCACAGGTACTGCTAGTATTACTCTGGTTTGTTGCCTTTATTCAAAATGGAAGGGAATGCTCAATTTCCATGACATGTGAGTAAAAACAAAGAGGTATATTTTCCCCATTCAAGCTCATGGCACCCCTTGAATTCTACCCATGTACCTGGGATTAAGAATCTTCATATATAGGTTTGCTTTGTTATACCCTATAAGTTATTTTATGGCTGATAAATCTTCATTTGCATCTTCTTCATTTACAAAGACCACTTTGGTGGCTAACTCATCATTAAACTCATTTTATTCTCATGCTTAAACCTATAGATGTTATCCAGTTCCTCTGCTACATAATTGAGGCAACAGTGAATTTTGTATCTTAAATAGTATACTTAATTGACTGCATTTTATACTTCATTTAATTCCAATACACACTAACTTCAATGGCTGTCCACTGCTATTTGAATCTGTTCTGGGAATTTTCTGCTAATATTTCTGATAGCTCACATTTTCAAGAGAAAGGTTTAAAATTATGAAGCTGTAAAGGTCCAGACAGTTTTTGCAGACTTTTTTTGTTTTTGCTTAAATTGTACACTTTCTTTCATATATGTACCTCAACTAGGAATCATGAAATATGTCAAACAGCTGCATTTAAAAGTCCATTGCAAACTAAGAATAACATTGTCAACTTCAATAGTCATCTTATTTTTCACCTGTGCAATACATAACCTCTATTTCCTGCTAGCTTCTGCTTGGGCTCTACTGAAAGCATGCCACTGATTAATAATAGCTTCATGAGTATGGCTCTCCCACAGTTGTTACATTAACATATTCTTTATAATTTTTTTAACTTTTACTTTATTTGCTACTGGGTGCTTGGAAATAGTTGTCAGTGTACTGGTAGAAAGGGGACTTCTGTATTATTACTTCTTTGCATTTCATAAAATTTAAACAATACAAAAATCCTGAGGAGGTATGCCACAAAACTGATCTCAGTGGAAATTTAAATATGCTAACACTTATTTTTTAAAGGTAGTGTGAAGTAGACGACTTTAAAAGTTGAGTTTAAAGAAAAGCTCAAGGAAGCTGATCTGGACTTTTTAAAGCACAAAAGTGCAATATTTAATGTAGGTCAAAATGGTTAAATGGGAGAAATATTTCTAACCAATTACAGCCAAATCCCTAGCCATAATTAACCTACAATTTGTGTAATAACTCACCACAGAGTCAGCATATACTACTCTTATAAACTTAGAAGGATCTACAGTTTTAGAGCTTATTTGGTGAAACAGGCATATTGCCCTATCTTTATTTATAAGTTCTGATTTTCATTTAGAAGTCAATAACAGATCACTTTTTCAAATGAACTTTTAAAAAACCCGTTATCAGAGAAATTTTAACTTATTTTAATGATATATGAGTTAGGTATTTCAAAATGAGAAATAATATTTTAAATATAATTAAAAAATAATCTCCCAACCCATTTAATCTGTATGAATTCAAGTTATTAATTTTTAGAGCACGCTATTCAATTTTTCTTAATCTCATTTGTTAACGTCTTATTTAGACTGGATTGACTTTAGTTCAAAAATGATATCATACAGGTTTAAAGCTCCTTCTCCAGTAAATGTATCACTTGCTTAAGTAATGGTAGAGTAGTGTGTGTAACAGAGAGATTTCAATGTGGGGAAAAAAGCCTATGATTTTCCCAAGGAAGCAGTTCAATCCCAAAGCTTAGACCTTTATTTTATGTCGTCTATATAAAAATTATAATATTTTCTAAACCAAGATATAAAATAAAAATGTTTTTAGATGGTGCTATTCTTTTTAAACTTTATCAAGATTTGTGTGTGTGTGTGTGTGTGTGTGTGTGTGTGTGTGTGTGTGTGTTAGGTCAACTACTGCATCCTTTGTGCAGAGGAATATGAATTCTATCTACTTCCTGAATAATGCAACAGGAGCAAAGGCTCCAAGAAGAGGTGGGCAAAGACAATGGACCTAATTCTGAAACCTTTCTAACACATCCTCCCCAAAGACGTTCGTCAAAGTGTTGTTCTAGCTTTCTGAATATTAAAATCCACCTATTATATAGATGATAGGTAGGAAGCAAGAGCTTGGCAATAGAACTGAGTTTTCATTGTTCATAACAATACTCTCATTTGGTAAATAAAGGCCAAGTCCTCCCTTATGAAACAGGCAACATTAGCATCAACAACTGGAGCATAATGCAAAATCGCATTTATAAAAATATCTATGCCTTCCAAGTGTGGCAGCATACATTTGGCTTTTTCTGTGCTTTCAGGACCTTCCAAGAGAAAATTAAAAAATGACCGAATTCAACAATAACCTTTCCGAGGTCCCCCCCGGCTCGCCCCCCGCCTTTGGGCTTGACCATGGTCGGCCCAAGTCTCCAAGCATGTACCAACAAATATAGTGGAACTAAAAAGTAAATATCACTATCTTGGTTTTTAGCATCATAGTCATTTTTGTAGCTGCTAAAAAATCTAGCCAAAGAGTAGTCTTTCCTACAAAATGGTCATTTATAATTTCCTTTTGTCATCTTTAAAATAAATGAGACTCAGCTTGTTAGGATTGGAATATATCACGGGAGCCTAGGTGGCTCAATCGGTTAAGTATCCTACTCCTGATTTCGGCTCAAGTCAGGGTTCCATGGTTCATGGTTCTAGCCGTGGGCTCCATGGTGACAGTACAGATCCTGCTTGTGATTTTCTTTCTTCCTTCCTCTCTGCCCCTCATCTACTTGCGTTCTTCCTCTCTCTCTCAAAAATACATCAATAAATAAAAATTAAGAAAAGACTGGAATATTCTGAAGCTATTCATATTTGAACATCCATGGGTGATATTTATTTACTTATTTTTAATTATTTGCTTATGTTTGAGAAAGAGGGAGGCACAGACGGTGGAAGAGCAGAGAAGAAGGGAGACACAGAATCCAAAGCAGGTTCCAGGTTCTGAGTTGTCAGCACAGAGGTCAATGTGGGGCTTGAACTCACAGACTGCGAGATCACGACCTGAGCATGTTGGAAGCTTAACCAACCGAGCCACCCAGGCACCCCAGCCATGAGTGATATTCAAAATGAACTTGAAAGTTTAAAATAGCAGGAAGGTACTGCCTATTTCACTAGCAACAGCTACATGTTTCAGTATAGGAGGAAAAGAAACAAACAAACAAAAATCATTATTGCTACTGATTAACTGTGGAGGGGCTTCTTAACCTCGGAGCCTCCCACCCTGGTTACAAACTTTCACAAAATCTTTTTTAGAGGACAGCTTAAATAGCTCTGGTAAAATTTTAGAATTCCTATTTTTATCTGTCGTCCTACCTCTTTTTTCTTTCTGCCAGCTGTTTGCAGACCTCCTGCCACCGCAGATTCAGACTTCCCAGTTTTTCTTGTAGAATACTGGCATCTGTTTTTGAGGACTGTTGAATTATATCTTCCCCAGTTGCATTCAATATCCTGACAACAGTTTGCCGCTGTCCAATGCCATCCTGGAGTTCCTGTAAGATACCAAAAAGGCAAAACAAAAATGAAGCCCTACATCCTTTTATTTGAGAAAAGATTTAACAATGTGCTACCACATGAAGTTCTACCAGGAGAGAAAGAAAGAAAAAAGCTCCATGTGAAAGTTTCTCTGTGAAACTGACATGCCTATATCCAAAGGCTACAAGACAGAAAGACATCTTTTATGTGTTAGTAAAAAAGCACCCTCTCAGTTCAGCTCCGGTTTTTCTATTTGTAAAGCTTGTCAGCTAGACGATGTTATAATGTCCTACAAATCAATTAGTTGGAAACCTTCTCAAGAGCAAATTCGATTTCTTGTCCCCACAAGGATGTTCCATGTTTAATAGTCTATGAAGTGTTTTAAAATTTCAACACGAAAAAAAGTATTTGGATTTCTTAATGACTGTCGATGGGAGAGGTGAAAAAGAACACAAGTAGTTTATGCACAGTGTTTTTAGCAAAACCCCAAACCTCTGGAGATATTTAAACACAAATTCATTGCTACATTCGAAGGACATTTATTTCAAATTCTGTTTCCATCAAGGTATTTTGCTTTATAAAACCACATAAAACTGAGAATTAATTGCTTCCAGGGACAGCCTATCAAAAAATCCCTAAGGTACAGTGATAAATTTAAAAATAATCTATAGCCACCAGAACATTTTTATGAGTCATTGATGGTGTCAAGCTTAAATATCTTCTACTTTTTATCGTGAATGAAATTTTAAGAGTAACAGCAAAGGAATGTCATTAAAAAGAGACTAGTACAACCAGATATACGTAAAAACAAAGATGCTTTTTATCATTACATAACAATGGCACTGTTACCTTTAAAAAAAAAAAAAAAAGATCATCCAGAATGTTTGAGGCAATTAAAATGACCTATTACTAAATCTAAAGGTTAGAAAATGAAACAGTCTGAGATTTTGAGATCTCTACCATGTTTACATCGAAAGAACTCACAAATCCTTACGTACTAATAGGATGAAGTCAGTATGCAGAATATGTTCCTGAAAGATGTGATCCTCATTATCTAATAATACTCTTATATTTGGTCTTTTGAACCAACACCAAGGACATAGTAAACCTGAGTCCACACTTGCAGAATAAATGAATCAATGTGTGTCTTCTGAGACTGGGTCAAATCTTCCTAAGCGTTATTCCACATACACAAAAAATGTTTGTTTGTTTGATTTTACTTTTGTGTAATATTATTTTGAATACTAGAATTTCTGGTAGTATAACTTGAGCAGTTAAAAGACTCAATAAATCAGCCAAAATGATATTAAGGCCATTATTCCAGGGATATGGTATCTCAACTGAATAGAAAGAAAACAGTACAGTTATGGAACTATTCATACTCTTTCCTCACCATACTCTCTTTTCAAAATTTTTTAAACATCTCTTTATTTTATAAAGAGTGAGAGAAAGACCGAGTGTTAACATGGGAGGGGCAGAGAGAGTGGGAGACACAGAATCTGCAGCAGGTTCCGGGCCCTGAACTGTCGGCACAGAGCCGGATGTGGGGCTCAAACTCACGAACCATGAGACCACGACTTGAGCCAAAGTCAGATGCTTAACCCACTGAGCCACCCAGGCACCTCCATACTCTCTTAAATGTACATGAGATATCCTCTAGTAAACATGTGATATTTGCTTGCAACTAGTTGCTTTTGCACCATTGCTTACATCTACTCTTCACTACCCATCCACATCAGTGTTGCACATGACACTCACTGTTACTTGCTTAGTAACAGACACACTCATTCATAACAAACTATGTCTATATTCTTATTATACCACACATTCACGGAGGTCAGAGGGTGTGTCCTATTCACGATTGTGTCCCTAATGCTTAGTACAATAGCTGGCACATGGGAGGTTTCAGGGGGTATTTGTTGAGTGAATGCATGCATCTGTAAATAAAGGAAGTGGGGGATGAAGGGAGGAAGGGATATGTTCAGTTTCATCATGGCCATAGTATCATTAGTAATAATACAATAGTTGGGCCACCTGGAGATTCAAGGACATTAGTAAAATTTTCTAGGTTTTGCTCGGTATTTAATCTAGCTGAAGAGGGTAGACACGGCTGTGAAGGATAATTTGTTGAATGACCTACAATAGAGAAAGCAAGAAGCTCATAAGTGATGCACCAGAAGAGAGAAGATCTCTGTGGAAGGACAAAGAGGAGATTCCTCTGGGGGACTGTGAAATGTAAAGAATGGGTCGATCTGAGAAACATGGAGGGTCAGGGGCACAAGGGGATAGCACCAGGCAAGGCCTATGATGTGCAGTCTCCATGATCTGATCAGGACTACCTACCTCGGCTCAGCATCACTGTATGAGAGTAGGAGTTCAGGGAGAGGGGCAGCCCTGCACTTTTCTTGGGCCTAGGCAGAGGGGACTTGGCTCTTCCTTAAGAAGTTTGCAATTTTTTGAATGGCAACAGAAAGTATCTTGGGTTTTAAGTACAGAAGTGTCCGAGCTAGAGCTGTGTTTCTGGGTAATTCTGAGGCAGAGTTGAGGCCAATGTTAAGACAGGGATGCAGGTAAAACACTAAGACAGGATTCTGGGACTGGTAGTTGGGTAAAACTAGACTTTGGATAATGCATTAGAAGGGAAAGGATAAAGCTAATCCACTGTAAAGGCAGGATCTACAGGGTTTGGGAGCTGGATGGATCAGGCAATCACATACAACTACTGAAATGGGAACTTGTTTGCCTAAAAGACAGAAATCAGGGAAGCAGAGGAGAAAGATTAAGACTCTAATTTGTATCTTCAATGGTGTCCAATGACCATACATATTAGTAACACTTTCACAAAATGCATGGAGTACCTGTTAGGTGTTTGCCAGAGCACTGCGTCTCAGATTTTCAAGTGCACGAGAATCTCCTAGAGAATTTATTAAGCTGCTGATTCTGGTTCAGAGGGTCCATGGAGGGCCCCGAATCCTCTACTTCTGACAAGTTTCATGGGAATGTCAATACTCCTGGTCCGGGAATGCCCATCAAGTAGTACGATGATACACAAAATGCCTTCTGAATCTTGGTTAAGTAATCAAAGAATTCCTGTTGGTGGCTTAGAATGTTATGAGCTAAAGCTGCTTCAGAATTTTTTTTTTTTAATCTCAGCCGTCTTGCTTTGCATTTTTGATCTTGGCCCTTCTACTCCATGGCTGATGGCTACAGTGAATTTTACAACCCAATTGTAGAATCAACAAGGGTTTTACCGTTTCTATTTCCCAGATAAGAGATAGAATTGAATAGCTAAGAATAAAGCAATAATTTAAAATTGTTAGATCTAAATCTCATTTATATAGTGTCCCAAATCAGGGCCTTCAGGTTTTTTAATTTTGTGAAAGAAGAGCTCATTAAATAGTCTATTGCATTTGTGTGAGAAGATTTTGTAATCAGGAAAGGTATTTACAGTGTCTGATCTGCTTGAGGACAGTTTTCAGTAATAAAGCATAAGACAGTGAAATAATGGATGGAAACAGGAAGTAAAGATTTGTACATGGTGTTTTACAGTTAGCCTCTGAGCCCGAAGAAGATAAAATTTGATTTAACAAATTAAATGTAAAACCTCAATCGACTTTATTCACTTAGGGGAAAAACAAATTAATTTTAATTCTATAGCTTCTAAATATTTTAAGCACTAAATTATTCACTACCAGTGAAATTTCCAAGCTTTGATATCATACTAATGTTCTGTTGTCACAGGCATTCTTATCTATTTCCCTAGCAATTAACATCTAGTTTTAGTTTGAGACAGAAAGAAAATCATAATTAAATCTATTGGATTATTCATCACAGTTAGAAAGCTTATTGTGTTTTGATTCTGATATGAAAGCATCATTCTTAATAAGGATTCCATATCAGACTTCCTGAGGGAGATTTTTCAAAATATAAAGCCCAGAATTCCACCGTAAGCTGACTCAATCAGAATCTCTGGTGGTAAGGGGACAAAGGAGAACAAAATAGATTCACTATTAAAAAGACAGTAGGCAAGAGACACGTCGAAGGGGCAAGTGAGCAGGCGAGACATGTTTTAGAGTTACTGCCATTATCCTCAACTTCCTGTATGCTTTTTAAATTGAGAAATGTTTCTAAATTATAGAAAATGACACATACACTTAAGGCCTTCAAGTTTGGTCAAATAGAGGGAAAGGAAGAGAAATTATAGATAAGGAAAGAACTGCTACATTTTTATAGGAGAAAGAATGAGGCAGAAGAAGCCAGTACATTTTATACAAAACACTGCATAAATTAAAAAAAAAAAAAGTATGCTTGCCAAACTGTTCAAAACTGTATGAAAGCACAACAAACGAAACATAAAATATGGCCAATAAAGAAAAAGAATAAGCTATGGAGCAGTTACGGGAAATCATACAATGACAAATTGGACAAGCTACGTAGGAGATAAAGAACTGGCAAAATACCACAAACTTGGCAGAAGAGGAAAATAGAAGAGATAAAAAAAAACTGATTGGGAAAAAAGATCAAGACTGAGGGAAACAGAAGAAAGAAAAACAAATTTTCATTGAACAAGTTGATGTGTCAAGAATGCAATCCTGTGATTTAACTGTAATTTTGTTCAAGATTTCCTTTGAGACAGATTAATCACAGATTCTATTCATTCACTGGTCAAGGGAAAATATGTAATTATGATCACCTGGGAAATGGCTGGACACAATTTTACTGCACAATTTCATAAAAATATGATGCTTTATCTTTTACCTACTGTTTTACTCTCTCTGTCCTGCTTAAGATCATTCCCACTATTTCTCTTTGTCAGTTCATAGAATTCAAGCAAGAGTCTGAAAAATAGTTTCATGTCCTTTTCTCAGAGATAAATTAAATGAGTTTGCCTCTCATGTTAATTCTTAGAGTATACAGTCACCAATGCCTTTAGGGGTTTTAATATGCTTCAGACAATATCTTTCAACTTGTATCAGATGATGAATTTTTGTTAAGAAAGCAATATAAATGGGCAAATACCCAAAACACATGGGAGATTCAGCAATACATTCAACCTACCCCTTCATGGACTGGTGACTCCACCCTGGCAAAGACCTGATGCCCCTGTGAGAAGATCTCATGATGACAGTGATAAGGACTAAAAAAATAGCTGGAATCTGGGAAATGCAGGATTTAAAAAAGGGAGAGAAAGGCAAGAGTAGAGAAATGGTAGCTATTAAAGAGGAGTGAAAAAAACAGAAGGGTGGCCTAGAAGAAATGGCAATTTTGAAATAAAGAATGAAAGTTGTAGGAGGCAAGAAGGAAGGTCAAGTCTGGGTACCTAGAATGAGGATCTCAAGAATGAGGCCTACGTAACTGACTACAAGATAGAGTCTGAACACTAGCTGACTGAAGCCTAAAGGGCCCCTGCTCCCTCTTTCCCCCTCTGCTTCTGGCTATTTTCCACTTTCAGCCTTGGCTCCAACTCCCTGTAAAACTGAATGGCTTTCTACTTACTAGATGGTCCCAAGTTTTGCAGGTCAAAGTCATTATTCATCTCTAATGCTCAGATGAAATGTTTCCTCTTCTGCTGGACCCTAGAGAGAGCTAAGTGCCTCTCCACTGTGTATTTATTAAATATTTCTATTTAGTATCATTCATTGGTAGCAATTATGTCTCTATTAGACTTTATAGCTGAGGATTAAATAATATTGAAATGATGTTTTCTTCTTTTGACCATAAAATATGAATCCAAGGTTCAGCTGTATCTCAGATTCAACTTTTATCTAAGGACCTACAGGTCTTTTATTACTAACTTGCAAGGTAAGTCAAATCAAAGATTTGATGATCGACCAAATGATCAAAAAATGATTGACCAAACACAAAATGCACCTTTTTATCCTGTTCTTTCTCCTGGTCTAATTTTATTTTGTATTTCAGTAAACATCTATTGTGTCTGACTAATAATGATGCTAGAACCATCTGCATGTTTTTGTTTGTTGCAGGAATTGGAGGCAGGAAGGGGATGGTTGTTAAATTTTATCTAATATCCTCTTTTTTTCTGGGTGGTATGATAGTAGATATGCTTGTTGGTACAGGTACACTTCCCTAACTGCTCCTGATAATGGTGGCTATAAAAGAATAATGAGAATTCCTTTTAAAACTAGAATTAGACTGTTCCTTTTCCAAAGCAAATGTCCTGCCAATGAACTAGAGGAAAATTATGTACAGTAGTGATTTATTTTAATGGGACATTTACCTACTATCAAGTTACAATGAAATTTCCTTTGTAAGTGTTTATCTCATCTACATCAGTGATATATACAGTCATTATTATCACTGCTATTAATGTGGATACCAAATGGATTCATCCACGTGCTTTAAGTACTACATGCTCTGAAAGGTTATGTCAGGCTTTCTGTTTTCTTTCTTTCTTTCCCAAGAAATAATGGCCTGGGCAGAAAAATTCCCAGAACATACATTCCTTAATTTCAAACAGAGGTTACATAGAAAAAAAAAAGTGTATATGTTAAATCTCTGCCTAAGTGGCTCTGGTAATGAAGACGGAAAGTGGGTGGGGCATGCATACATTCTACTCTCTGGAGGCATTTGCATTAGTGATCCTTGTTTTAAAGAAAACTGTTGTTATAAAGTATACAACTTGGCAAAGTTAATAGGCTTTGCTTTATGAAAAATCAATGACAGGCCTCTCTCGGTTCACAGATTTATTCAAACCTTCTTGGCTTTTAAATCATTCCTTAGAACTTCAGGAAAACTAGATGGGAATATTTAAGAGTTGTTCTTTGTCTCTATTTAGATAGGTTTGTTTTGAAAACAAATATACCTTTCTCTGATCAAAAGGAGGTTCTTCTCTATGACCATGCCTGCTCCCTTTTTTAAAAAAACTGAAGGAAAATTAACATACAGTGTTATATTAGGTTCAGGTGTATAATACAAGGGTTCGACAATCCTATATATTACGTAATGCCCATCACGATTAAGTATACTATTAATCTCCATTATCTATTTTACTCACTTCCACCACTCACTTCCCTTCCAAGTATCTATCCATAAAGGAATGGATAAAGAAGATGTGGTACATATATGCAATGGAATATTACTCAGCCATAAAAAATGAAATATTGCCATTTGTAACAACATAGATGTACCTATAGGGTATTATGCTAAGTTAAATCAGTCAGAGAGAAACAAATGTCATATGATTTCATATATATGTGGGATTTAAGAAAAGAACAAAGAAAAAAGATTAAAAAAACAGACTCTTAAATTCAGAGAACATGCTTGCTCTCTTAATAAGAGATCCTGGTAGCAGAACATATGACTTCAGCCATAAATTTCTTTCTAAGTAATTATTACGGTGGTTATAAAAACACGTGAGATATTTCATCATGAAACATATTTCATGTGAGCAGAAAATGCTTGTTCTAAGGCAGGATAACTTGAAAGGAGACACAGGCCATTTTAAAATTCCTTCTTTCTAGAGGTGTTATCAGTTTGGAGCCACCCAAATATTTATTTAAAAGACATTTGGTGGAATAAAAAGTGTAGTGAGTGTAAGAAAAAAGCAACATAACTATTTTTTTAAAAAGCAAGATGATGTGTAAATAGAATTAAGAACTGAAAATACTTGATTAAAGTCAAATCTTATTCGCTTTGAAAAGTTGTAGTTTCCTATTGGCACTTACCATAGTTAAGGTACGAGACATGGTAGTAGTGTGGATTGGGAGGTAGCACTAGACATATGGAGACATGGTTGGAAACAAGTGATATTTGGGAAGTAAATCGGATTTAGCTATTCACTAAGGATGTGAGGGAAGGGAAGGATAGCAACTAAGCAGTTGAGAATACTGGACTAAACCTGAGAAGGAAAATTAGTTTTGAAAACATAACTGAGATCAATATCGGATGAGCTAAGTCTAAGATTTGTCATGCGGGTTTGGCTCCGAATGTGGCTAAATTCTCCATTTTCATGGAAAACAGTAAGGGTAACTTCAAAGTCAGAATTTGTGATTCAAACACATTTTGGGACTTCCTGAATATGTGCCTAACAACTGCTACAGAGGAAAGTGAGAGGAATAATATTGTCATTATTGGCCCTTGCTATATCTGGAAACTGCTCCATTTTATTTTCATTTGCCAACAAAGAGATCCATCAGTCTATCTCATGATTCACATAATGTACAAAACTCAGATTCCCTATAACCTTTGGAAAAAAATAAGACTACTGCTCTCAGGAAGTTGCTTTTATCTACACATCCTAAGTTCTACCCATCCACTGCTAAAAATCAATGGGCAAAGATGATTTGAAAATATATCCATGTTGCTATGTAAGAAATCAGAAATTAAACCTTTCCCTTCAGAGACTCCCTATTTTCTGTCCTCAGAGGAATTTTATGTTCCTTAGCTTTGGCATAATCTCTAAGTGATTGTTTAATGTAGGCAAACTGTTCAGTGCGAGTATTACCTTCAATATGATTCGCTCCAACAAATATTTAGGTAACTACTCTGTGTCTGATGCCTCTACAGTGATAGATAATCTTGTCTTTTCCTGACATTACTCAATTTAATGGAGGAGAGCAGAGTTAGCAAATTACTACATATAATGCTGTATTACAACACAGCTATGGAGATGCTATGTGAATAAGATCAATGGTATGATTGTAAGTATGATGGTATGTGTACACATGTCTATATCTGTGTGTGGGAAGATGGGAAAAGGAACATAAACATTGTGGTAATTAAGACTATATATGACTTAAGACTTCTTCATTCTTTACGTTACCAGACACAGCGTTGAGTGCAGCTTACCTCAATACTTGCTCAAGAGATATCTGTTGATAAATTGAGTGTAAGACTAAGCAAGACATGACACTACTTTTGAATGGTTTCCCACTTGAGAAAGGTTCAAAAGTAAAATGGTGAAATCTATACAACACTCTGGTAGGGAAAAGCGACATTTAAGAATAACTGTTTTACCAAAGTCTCATCTCTTACTGCAAGTAACAAGTTATCAAGGTAAGGTTTAGTCTTTCATGCTCTGGAGAATGGAAAGGCCCAGAAATAAAATAAACAGGGATAAAAACAGGTCTCGATGTTTAATATCAATTAATTGATTTTAAGCATCTAGCTCAGATTACAAAACCCCCCAGTACAGCAACTAACAATCCACCTCCAAGCACACGCTGGGCATCACTAAGCCTTCTATGTACCTCTCATCAAGTTATACAGGCATTAAAAACAAGTTACTTCTTTTAAAGCCTTAATTTTTGAGGGTGGTTTTCTTATTTTCCAATTCATTATCTGTTACAGAGTAATGCTCTTCTTCTTTATAGAATTAGATGAGAAGGGGAGATGCTGAAAGACATCCGTGTGTCTCTTATTGACTGTGCGTATCTTCTGGAAATCAGACAAATCAGGCACAAGAATTGGTTCTATTATTAACATATTTGCACAATGGCAGCAATTTGTACCTTATTTAACTATATACAAACCAGAGCAACCTAAGAATAAAAGAGCCAGAGAACTTAAGGATGTTGCCTGTTAAAAATTCCAGAATTATCCATGTGATTCCCTAAAAGATTAGGGGCAGTTATAAAAAGGGGTGAAAAACAACTATAGTGGTTTTGACTTCATGACACATCTAATTTGTGTAGAGGGAAAGAATCTGTTATCAAATGTTAATGTTTTCTAATTTTTTTGTCTTTAACGAAGCCTCCTTCTTATCTATTGCATCGCATTTCTGCACATTTTCATGTCATTTGAACCTCAAAGAAAACATTTTCAAGCAAACATTAACATAATTCTAAAACGAGTTTTTCTTGTTGACTTCATTATTTATTTGAATGACATCTATATTCTCCCACTGATCCACCCACACCACCACCAGTCCATCCACTGTTTTATCCCTTTCTTTTTTTTCCCACTCCAAGCTCTAGTGACCCTGATTGCTGTACCCCTTGACAAGTTAAGTCCACCTTTGTTTTCCCTCCAGTCAGGTTGTTCACCATAATTCACCGATGTTAGTAACACATCCCCTGAACTGATTTCTCTCAATCCTTCACACTCTAAAGCATGCTACATATTCTTTGCAGATTAATTCTTCTGATTAACATCTCTGGGGGTGATTTCCTGCTGAAATATTCATATGAATCCTTGGTACCTACCTCATGAAGACCAAACAGCTTAGATAACCTTTGGAACCTCACAGTATTCCAGGAAGAAATCTTCCTATGGTTCTCCAAGTGAGTCTCCAATTCCTTATCTATGGCTTCAGCACAACTCAACAACTCACAGCATTACCTTGGTTTTCTACAGACCTTTGCCCATGCTATCTCCACCACTAACACCCTCATTTCTACTTGTGGTTTCCTCTCACTCCAATCCGGTAGACCATGAGCTCCATTAGGGCAGGAATCACTGGGGTTATTTTTGTTTTTTCCTTTCTAGTTCTTAGCAAAGCATGTACTACATGGTAGCACATATGTAAAATAGATAAACATGCCAAATACCACGTCTCTTACAAAATAAATTTTCAACTAGAAATTATCCTGTAAAATCCTAATGCAGACCCATTATTGTCCACTTTAGGATGTTTTTCATAGCCTTTATAAAATTAGGCATCTTTATTTTGATTGGAAGCTTTTTAATTTCTTCAATGCAGGGACGCTGTCTTCATGTTTTGAGTTTTCTACCGTGTTAATCAGTAAAAGTTTGTTGACCAAATGAATGAGAAACATACGTATAGTAAAAATGATGATTAAATTATATTTCTATATTTTTAAATGCCTAGTAGGCCTTGACCAACACATTAGTGCTGATGGCTCTGAAAAGGCTATCTGCAGGGGCTGGTCAAGGAAAATTAAAATATTTGGCACTCCATATTAGTGACGTGGATGGCCATGGAGCAGACCAAGCAGCAACACTGCTTTGCACTAGAGTCTTCAGAGAAAATAAAAAGAAAAAAAACCAATTAGGAAAATGTCTCTGTCATTCCCAATTTACACATTATACCAATAACCTCAAAATAATATTACTTTCACATGTGCGCACTCTCTCTAATGTAAAAAAAAATAACAGTATTACTGCTCACCCAAAAAGAAGGGCACTGTCTTCTTTTTTTTAATTTTAATATACTGCTTTATTTTCCCCCCCCTTTTTAATAGTTTATTGTCAAGTCGGTTTCCATGTAACATCCAGTGCTCATCCCCACAAGGGGCACTATCTTCTACAGACATGATCTCTGTTCATGAATGGCCAGTACATGAAAAGAAGTTTAATATTGTCAGCCACCAGAGTGACACAAATTAAACCACAGTGAGATACCACTTTATATCCCACAAAATTACACAGTTAAAAACAACTGTTAAGATCAAAGGTCAGTTAGAATAGAGACCAAACAGCACTCTCCACCATGACCGGTTAGAGGGTAAAATGACACAATGACTTTAGAAAACAGCTTTTGCAGTATCTTACCAAGTTAAGCACTTGACCTAGCTGCTCCACTCCCAAAAGAAATGAAAACACTCACAAAAAGACTTCTCCACAAACACTCATAGCATTTCCAAACAGTATTTCCAAACTGCAAGTACTCTGACTATCCATCAAGAGAAGAGTCAAAGTACAGCATACTTTTACAGTGAAAAAATTAGCCAGCAGTAAAAAGGGATGAACTACTGACACACTCATAACATGGAGGAATCTCAAAAATACTATGTTGGTCAAAACACTACATACTGCATGATTCCATTTATATGAAATCAGTAATAAACAAAACTAAAGTATGGTGATAGAAATAAAAACAACAGGTGCCTATGGGGGTTGAAATCTACTGGAAGATGGCATGAGGTGATGGAAATGTTCTTGTTATTGAGGTATTTGTTTTATGACTTGAAGAAATTGATGAAGTTAAATTGAACACACGATCTCTTTGTTTCTAGGAGCAACGTTCTAGACTTCCTTACATGCTTGCTACAGTCATACAGAGCAAGAAAACATATGGAATAAATTACATGGCAAAATCTCAATAATACTCAAAATACCCCCAACAGATTGAAATGAACTAAATTTAACAGGTTCAATTTTTTTATAGGAATCAATTCTTCCTGGCCTCACAAATAAATCTTATGTCATCTTCGATATATTTTACTTCTATTAAGAAATAAGAACATATCACTTTTTTCTTATGCAAGAGGAGAACTAAGACAGCCTCAGTGGCCAACCTCAGTCATCTGCAGACAGAATTTATAAAGGTTCAGAAGATTAGTGAGGCTATATAGGTCTGACATGGGAGTTACAGAAGACAAGTTAAGTGGCATCCATATTTTAGTAAAGTGTGTGTGTGTGTATGTGTGGTGTGGTATGTTTATTAGATGGGGGGGATCATAGTGATCCCATGATATTATATTCTAAGAGATAAAATGTCTCAAGAGAACTTTGATGCTTTCAAGAATAAAATTTCGACAACATAATAGAAAATGATCCCACTAATCATTTTCTTAAAAGGGGGTGGCTTGTTTAACAAGATGCATGCCCCAACACAGGAGATCCTCAAAGGAGCTCAGATTCTACAAATATGAACATGGGATAAAATAAGAGACACATAACTGAGGACAAATCTTAATAAAAGAATAAGGAACTGCTTAAACAGTGAGGAAAAGCCAAGCCTGGAATTTAGACTTGGGATAATGTTAAAAAAACAACATCCAGG